GTTTATTGTAATGACTCTATGGATTTAAAAGTCTGAAAGAATTCGGCGTTGTCCGTCTCTGGAAACCTCGTATCAGTTCGCTACATCGCATCCCGTACGTTGAAACACCTATTGGACGATTATTCAGCGATGAAGAATTCCCCGCTATTCGTCGGTTTTGAAGAAAAGTGACTAAGTCAGTTTGAAAGGCATGACCTCAAAATAACGTTGAATGTTATGCAAAACTTACTCGCGTTATTTATTAAGACGACAAGCAGAATTATTTAAGGAAAATATATACTACATAAAACGCAGAAACTGATGCAAAACAAACTCGTTTTTTATATTTATTTCTTGGTATAAATTAAGGGGCTTGTTACTCAATGCGGTGTGCTACGTAAGATACTTTCCGAAAAGTGATATATTCGTTCTAGAACTAAGCACGTCATATACACGCGCGTTTGAGAAATATAATTTGAAGACCCAAGAAACCTTCGAATAAAAAACCGCTTAAAAACACTTTTAGTAATTTTTTTTCTGTAGAAGCCAAGGCGCCAATTTAAGTCTTTTGCAATTCTACTAAGACAAAAAGGAACACCGCGGTGATTTGAAGCTGCACTTGAAGGCCTGCTCAAACTCCGTCATGGAACTGACCGTAACATTGCAGCGATGGTCGCTACGAGCGGGTCCTTCGCCCTCGCCAGCTTTGTAGTCTTGGATGTGTTGCTTGGACGCGCAGAATCCGTGGCAGTAGGCGACGAAGAAAAATTGCTTCTCTGTGAGTTTTTCCACGTGTGACTGGCGGTCCGGGACGTAGCAGGAGTCGCTCCGCAACGCCGCCAGCACCAGCTCGAGGGCTGCGATGTCTGGCACGTTCTCCGACAGCGTTTTCCTGCCGTAGGCGACGTTTGGAATGCGCTTCTCGAACGCCCGTTCTAGGCACAGCAGCCTCTCGTAGAACCCTCTGCCCTGCCCGTAGCCCCATGGCTCTCTGTCGCCTTCGTGACTCTTCTCGATTTGGTCCTTATCGAAGGCGTGCATTGCGGTCTGCGCCATCAGGCGGCCCGTACCCGCGTACGAGAACGCCACGGATTCCGTGTCCATGAAAGGAGGCAGCATCAGCATGGCGGGAAGGAAGACCACCATGCTGTAAGGCACGAAGGCCGGGCTGAACGTCGAGAAAGACGACATTTCCTCGGTTTCGACAGCCTCCAGGTTGTACAGGAGCCGCCAGCGATCCACGGCCATGGACCCCTGGTACCGCGTCATCTGAAAATTGAACAGGTCTTCCTCCGCCCTCATTTTTAGGGCACTTAGAAACGACGTCAAGAAGGGTTTCTTGAACTGAGGCACGTAGTGAAACTGTGTCTCCAGGCCTAGAATGGAGTTGAGGTTGTCCGGAACGCCCAAGACTAGACGGGTGAGCTGAAATCGGTCTTGAGCGTACGCCGTCGGTTCGGGCATCATCCACTTGAAGAACTGACGAATCGAGCAGCGGAACTGTCGGTACATGTGCTTTCCCAGCTCCACCTGCGTTGTATCGAGGTGCCTCTGGAAGTAGATGGCGTTGAGGGCGAACGGCGCCATGTACTGGATGTAGCCGCGGCACTTGACATCGTGCTCTTTGGTGTCCTTCATGGCGGCAGCGAAGAGGTAGTACTCCACGACCGCCGTGACCCAGTGGAGGCCAACCTTCGGGTTGTTCCTGTATTCGTTCACTAGGTTGTTCGTGAGGATGAGTCCTTCCACCTTCCGCACATACACGGTTTCGTTGGGCTTCAGGGTCAGCGGGAGGTAGTGGGCGAACCTCTCGCCCCACATGGACGCGTTGATTTGGGGCGTGTGGAACGACATCTGCGCGATCGTCTTGTAGGCGGGGTACTCGCTGCTCAGGCCCTGCACCCAGGTTCGAACCTTGAAGTCCACTTCTTTAACATCCTTCACGAATCCTTCGTTGACCCCTTGGAATTTTTCCACGGCGGCGAGTACCTCACTTGCGGGGTTCTGCAAAAAAGATATAATATATATGGGTGATTTCATCTCAACTCAGGCACAGATTTAGGGTCGAATTTTTAATTTTGACGAACAAAACATATGTTTTGGGGCAATTTCTATATCAAAAGAAGACGCAAACGGCGATTTCGTCGGATATTTTGTTCTCAAGTTATGGACCGTTGAAGCGGCCAAGGTGGAAACTGACGTTTTCCCAGCTTATCGGAAGTGCCATATTTCACTCCATCCCTTTTTCCTACTTTTTACGCTACATCAATATAACTTTTTTGGAACACTCTAGACATAGGCTTTTTCATGCTAATTAAGCGTCTCGGTTATAAAATTCTTAATGATTTTTTTTCTTCATATGTCAAACTGCCTCTCTGCGACGATATTTGACGAAGTTCAGCAAGCTGTGCTTTGTGACCTAATCAACATATTTTATGATATTTATATCACCGTAAAGCTCCAATTCATTTCTTTCTTTTGAATATAAATTCCATATTTTTTTATAAGTATATAGCGCTACATGGGTTCCTGAAAAACAGAAATTTCGCAAAACTGGCAAGGTTGGAGTCGATTGTCTGAAAAATCCCACTTTTTTTTTTCTTTTATTTTTTATTCACAGTTAGTTAATATAGCAGTCTATTAGAAACTACTAACAGAAATTGTAATATGTTGTTTGTATAGTGCTATTAAGACTCGAGTCTCGTGCTATGCGCGTTTTGAACGGGACTTCGCACAGGCGCTCTGCTGAGC